TGAGATTGACTCACTCGGGACGGACCCGGAACGACAAAGTGATGGATGGGTAGGAGCTCTATTCAACCTATGGTTTCATATATTGCTAGGAGACCAATGGAATCAACTCCCTCGGGGATTATCCGGACAATGTACGATAGGAGTGACCCAAAGACGCCAATAGGGGGCTCTGAGGAGGTTTTCTCTCTCCTAGGTCAATGCTCAATTGACAAGTTAAGGAATCCAAATTCATTCAATCCTTACCAAACATCCATCAAATAGATAAATTCATTAATCAAAGATAGAATTTGTCACATACATCAACAATAAAACAAAATCTAGAACTAGGGTTCTTAAACCCAAGAGAAGAGGATGAGTTTCTAGAGAGAGAAATTACAAATTGGAGCCCAAGATCTTCTTCTTCTTTTAGGCTTGATTCCTTGCTTCCAAGCTTGATCAATGCCTTCAATTAAACTCCAAGATCACTCAAAACTCTCTCTCTCTCTCTCTCTCACACACACATTAGAACTCCCCTTTGGTGTTTTGGATTGAAACCCTAGAGAAAGAAACTATTTCCTCCCCAAAAATCAGCTCCCCTTTCTCTCTCCCTGCTGCTGTCTTTAAATTTGCCCGACAGGGCCCAGTTCACGGACGGGAGCTTTAGTTCACGGTCTTAGACCGTGAACTGACTTAAGGCCAGTAACTTGCAAAAATGTTATGGAAATTGGTCACTTCACGGTCTAGGCTTTCATTTCACGGTCATCTTAGACCGTGAACTGAAGCTCTAGGTGGTGAACAGTGCTTAGCCTCAACTTTTTGGCTAGCTTTGACCTCCGAAAGACCAAGAACTTGTCCCGGGCCTTTCCACACGTGATAGGACCTGAAATGTACCAAGACAAGCACAACCTAGCATAAAATAGGTCGAGTGACGATGATCTAATAAACAAAACGAACAAGAAATGAGGGGTAAAATGTGTGCATTTGGACCCGAATCAACCCCCCTTTGAGTAGATACACATCCATGCTAGCAAAGTAGTTGCTTAAGTAATTTGCAAATTGTTCCCTTAACTTATTGGCATTTGAACATGTAAGAGGAAACTCTTCTGGTGTGGTAGTCTTGGTTTTCGAGTGCACTGCCCTGTTGTATGCAAACTTCACGTGAGGTAGGTAATCTTTCCAAACCTTGATGTTACTCTTGATCACTGCTCAAAGCATTTGGGATAGAGTGCAATTGACCAATTAAGTTTGCCCATCTGTTTGAAGATGACAAGTCGTAGAAAACAACAACATTGTTCCCATTTTCTTACATAATGTCTTCCAAAAATAACTTAAGAACTTTGCATCTCGATCAGACATAATAGTATGAGGCATTCCATGCAATCTCACGACCTCCTTGAAGAACAAATCGGCCACATTAACAACATCATCAGTTTTATGGCATGGAATGAAGTGTGTTAACTTTGAAAATTGATCCACCACCAAAAATATAGAGTCCCTGCCTCTCCTTGTTCTCGGAATACTAGCACAAAGTCCATTGAGATGTTGACACATGGTGCATATGGTATAGTCAAAGATGTGTATAATGTAGTTGATTGCACCTTATATTTGGCTTGTCGACACCCCACACATCTAGGACACAAGCTCTCCACATCTCATTTCATGTGAGGCCAATAGAAGTGATCTTTTAAGAAACTCAAGGTCTTAGCTACACCAAAGAGAGCCATCAATCCTCCTCCATGAGCTTCCTTCAACAATAGCTCTCGAACTAAGGTTCTTGGAACACACAATTGGTTCCACAAAAGAGATAACCATCACTCCTCTAGAATATTCCTTCCCCATGCTTCTCGCATGACTTATAGATCTCTCCAAAATTGAAATCACCTTTATAGAGCCCTTTGATTTGCTCAAAACCAATGTACTTTGCATCCATGGTTTTTATCAAAGTTTCCTTCTTGCTAAAGCATAATCAACTATATTCTCCTTGCCTTGTTTATATTAGATCTCGTATGGAAATTATACAATAAAATCCACCCAACGAGCATGACTCTTGTTCAACTTGTGTTGGGCCTTCAAATACTTCAGAGAATCGTTACCAGTATGGATAACAAATTCCTTTGGCGACAAGTAATGTTGCCACATCTCAAAAACTCATAGAGCTCCTTATCGTAACTAGGATAGTTAAACGTAGCTCCACTGAACTTCTCACTAAAGTATGCAATATGCTTCTTCTCTTTCATCAACACCGCTGCAGTTCCCATCTCTGATGCATCACACTCTACTTCAAACGTCTTATGAAGATCAGGTGGCATCATAACAAGAGAATGAGTAAGCTTGTACTTGGGTAGCTCGAATGCCTTGTCTTGCTCTTCTCCCCAATAGAAAACCACATTCTTGTTGATAATTGAGTCAATGGTGCGGCTCTGGTGCTGAAATTTGGAACAAATCATCGATAGAAGCCATCAAACCCATGAACGCTCCTCACTTCATTCACGTTAGTAGGGGAAGGCCTTGCTTGAATAACTTTGCCTTCTCTTCATCGACTTTAACTCTATTAGCACTAACTACGAAACCAAGAAATACCACGCTTGAGGTACAAAACACACACTTCTTGAGATTGGCATATAGATGCTCCTTCCTCAAAGTTGCCAACCCTTCTAGTACATGCTTAAGATGATCCTCCATGAATAGATTAGAATATCGTAGAAGTAACAACAACGAACTTCCCAATAAAAGTTATCAATATGTGATTCATCAACCTCATAAAATTACTTAGAGCATTAGTCAATTTGAAAGGCATCACCGTTCATTCATATAGACCATGCTTCATTTTAAAAGATGTCTTCCATTCATCGCCTTCCTTCATACGAATTTGGTGATTACATAATCTCAAATCAATCTTAGAAAACAAGCTAGATCCATGTAATTCATTAAATGTGGTATAGAATGTCGATACTTAAATTTTATTTTGGTTGATTGCTCGACAATCAACACACATCCTCCAAGTTTGATCCTTCTTTGACACGAGAATGAGTGGAACTGCACAAGGGCTCATGCTTTCACTAACATGCCCTCTCTACATAAAGCTTATCAATCTGCCTTTGCAATTCTATAGTCTCTTCTAGATTCATCCTATAAGTTGCCTTTTTGGAATTATAGCTCCAAGAACAAAATCGATTTGATGCTTTATCCCTTGGATTGGTGGTAGTCCTTTCGGTGCTTCCTCGGGAAAGACATCTTCAAATTCTTCTAAGACCACTCATTCCCTAGTTGGAATATTTCAAACCAACTCTTGATTGAGTAGCATGCATTTGTACTTCAAGAATCCTTCAAGAATATCTTTAACATGTTCAATAACTTTAAGAAACCCTTCGAACACGTCTAAGAACTTCAAGAAACTCTATGAACACCTTCAAGAACCTCCAACAATGTACTTATTGCCATGGATTTTGAACCGATCTCTAATACCACTAGACATGAATCGAAGCTCGAACTCCTGGATTCAAAGGTGATCAAACTACGCATCCAACTTTGATCTTCTAACATTTTGGATTTTCTTCTTCAACTTCAACAAAAAATAAAGATTGATGTGCAAATCAATCTAACAATCCCAACGTGTGATAAATGGTTTATTGATATAGGGTAGAACTCGCTACAAATAGATGTGATCTTCTAGGTGATAAGAAACGCATAACCTCCTGGACTCTTTGATAGAAGACTTGCATAAACGTTCACTAAGGAACACGAGAATTAACTCTTCAATTGATTGCTGAAAACTTGAATGATCTTATAATGAAATTTGACCTCTTTAAATAGGCTACTAAACACAAATTCAAAACTAAGAAAGAAATCATATACTTAAACAACAAGTAACAATAATCCGCCCATTACATAACCCTAATCCTTAAAGGATTTGATTAATCATTATTCCTTCTAGGCTAAGTAAATGTAATTCGTTTTGGGCTAAGGACTTCTCATAAGCCCTTCTTCAAGCCATTGCTACCACCTTCCTCCAAGCCCATTACACGATCTTCTTCAATGAATTGCAACATCATTATGGACCTCCCTTTGAGTAGATCCACGTCCATGCTAGCAAAGTAGTTGCTTAAGTCATTTGAAAATTGTTCCCTTAACTTCTTGGTCTTTGAACGTGTAAGAGGACCCTCATCTAGTGTGATAGTCTTGGTCTTGATGACCTCATCACACCTATTGAGATTTACAACAACAAATTGCAACCGTGAAATGGCATGGGAAAATTGATGCTGCAAAACTCACCATATATTGGATTTTGATTAGTTTTTCCTACTTCCCTAATGCATGGACGCTTTTGAAACTCAAAAAATAAGAAAATATGTGTTTGAAGTGGCATAACCTACATTTTTCAGCCATTGATCATCCAACATCAAAGAACAATATAATACATGAAAAATAGAGCATCACTGAGAAAAATCAAAATGCACTCACCTATTTCTCCATCAACCCTTGAAAACAAGCTATCTTCGTTGGTCACTCGTTTCAAATCGCTGATAATAAGAAGAAAAGAAACCAGAATCTAGGATTAGGGGAAGAATGAAGAACGTTACCATATTCAGGGGTTTTAATTAATTATCGGAAAGAATGGCAGCATATGTAGATTTTGTTATTCATTCTTCTTATAATCTTCTCGCCAAATAGAATCCGCTTGATTATTTTTTTGTTCTCTGAAGGGAAGGATTGTCGACAGTTGAGCTTCTTGATTCGATTATGAACGACGGAGTAAACTCAGAGACTACCATTGTCGCTGTGTATTCCGATTGCACGAAGTTCTTTTCATTTTGTGGGCTCATAATTTTTTTATGTCTCACATGTAATTCAACATACAAAAGTTCAGTTGGCAATCCGCATGGCATGAAAAATTGCATGTAAACACCTATGTTAGTTGTGGAGACGAAAATTGTAACGATGCAACTAGATTTTAACGTAAATAGTTTAGTTGCAACAAAACGTAATGATGACCGTGCAACAAATTGTAAAGTTAGTGGCAACTGGTGCAGTTTCCCCCTAAAACGACGTTGAACTTCTTCAACTCAGCCCACCTCCACTACCAAGCTGTTCCGTCATTACCGTCAAGCCATGGCCAGCGTTTCAATCCCCTTGTCTCTGCCTAACCTCAATCTCCGCCGAGTCAACCGGTGGGTTATTCTGCACTCGTCTTTCATCCCTCTCGCTCTAAACTTTCTTCAATATCCGCCCATTCCTCCCATTTTCCGGCATTCACCTTCGTTCCCCCTTGTGTGAATTGACAGATTCTCTGGTATGGCTTCCGCAAGCGCAAACCGAGCGACGACGGGAGTTAAGATCACGGAAGGTGTAGGTAACTTGCCCAGAGTCGTCCTCACTTCTCCTCACGGCAGGTAAGTGCATCAACCGGGAGGATCTGTCTTCATCTCCGCGGTTTCTCTTGTTTCCATGGAGCTATCTGGGAAAACGATGGCTTTGAATGCGAGTGCTTTATCGCAGCGAGGCGGAGATTTACTTATACGGAGGGTGCTTGACGTCCTGGAAACTTCCTGGCGGGAAAGATCTTCTTTTCGTACGCCCTGATGCTGTGTTCGACAAGAAAAAGCCAATCAGGTTTGGATGCATTCTTTTTCATTTTGCTGCTTCAATGGAATTTCCTTTCTTGATGGCTACGTATTAATCCGTGAGTTTCTTACAGCGGAGGCCTCCCTCATTGTTTCCCACAGTTTGGACCAGGTGCTATTCAGCAGGTATTGGAAACAAGTACTCAACTTGTATCGCCATGGCTTTTTCCAACCCCCACTGAACTGATCTGGTGTTGGTTATAGCATGGATTTGCTAGGAATATGGATTGGTCAGTTGTCAATTCTGAGAATGTGGAGGGTGACCCTGTTGTAACACTTGAGTTGAAGGATGAACCTTACAGTAGAGCTATGTGGGACTTCGGTTTCCAAGCTCTATACAAGGTACTGCGAGCAAGCTAGCAATCCAGGACCAGTAACTGTAACTCTTAACATCGTTATTACTATCTATCCGTCTGCAGATTTTGTGTTTAGAAATCAAGTTTTGCTTTTTCTCAGGTAATGCTTAATGCAAAGAGCGTTTCCACAGAACTTAAGATTACTAATACAGATAGCAAGCCGTTCTCCTTTACGACTGCTTTGCATACATATTTCAGTGTAAGTGCTCCTATAGACTTGCTACCTTGGTTGCTTGACCAATTGGAATTTAGATTGTATGTAAAATAATCATCTCCTCCCTTGGTGCAGGCTGCTGTGACAGGGGCATCAGTGAAGGGTTTGAAAGGTTGCAAAACATTGAATAAAGATCCTGATCCTAAAAATCCTTTGGAGGGACAAGAGGAAAGGTGAGAAGCACATAATACTTATGGAGAGCAGTTCTGGGGATTTGCTTTTTTTTTTTTTTTTTTTTTTTTTTGAAACAACTGCATCCCAGTCTGAAGAAGAATTGGAAGATGGTTTCCCTTTATTTCCCTGTTTCCTAACTGTGTCTTAATCTCTCAGGGATGTGGTCACTTTCCCTGGGTTTGTAGATTGCATTTATCTTGATGCACCAGCTGAGCTTCATCTTGATAATGGCTTGGGTGATGTGATTACGATCAAGAATTCAAAGTACATCGATCAGCAACTTCCTTTTGACTACTTTATCTTACTTTGCTTCAATCTCCTTCTGTCTATCCAAACCTCAAGACATATCTCTATTACTTCCTTGCAGTTGGACAGATACTGTGCTATGGAATCCACATCTTCAGATAGAAGCATGTTACAAAGATTTTGTTTGTGTTGAAAATGCTAAGGTATTCAGTTACTGCCTTCTTTTATCGCTTGCTGTTTCCATGTTGGAATTCTCCTGGCAGAGTTACATGTTTGGATTTTGATGAGTATATTTTGTGGGCTCTGCAGATTGGGAGGGTACACCTAGAGCCCAGTGAATCCTGGGTAGCTACACAACAACTTAGTCTCAGTTAAAGTTTCTATTCAAATTGGTCGACGAGCACTTTCACTGCAGTCTGCAGGTTCCTGTTTTTTATAAACGTTTTCAGCCTTGTAAACAATAAGAGCAATAATTTTACTCCTTTTTTAAAATTCCACGCAGCCGTTTTAACTCGAACGAATGCTTTGCCATTTTGCCTTGTCCTCACCAATAATCAGCACAAGAACATTTTCCATCTCTGAAACAGTGGAAACGGGTTCTGTCCCGCATGACAATCTCCCTGTTATATATCTTGGAAATAAGTTTCATCACAGCATGACAATCCTCACACACCCTAAGATTCTTGAAAATCCGAATTCCTGTCCCTGGTTTAGTATGAATAAGGGCAAATGCAGTAGCCAGCTTCTCACTGTGCTGACTAATAGCAGTTTCTTTCTCATTGTCTTCAAGATCTAGCAATAGCCCTGTTGTCACAGGTTTATAGCCTTCTTGCTTCAGCCGATCAGCTATCTGGTGCCATATGCTGGAAATTGCATCTGCTTCTGGATGGTTTCTATCACCAGCCACAAATTCATGAACAATCCCATTCACACTGATTGTGCTGCATCCTGGTAATTTTGACACTCCACCTGCTTTCATCTTCCTTCTTGTTTCAGCTGCCAGCTCCCATTCCCTTGCAGCAGCATGTATGTTTGCCAAGTGAATATACCTTCCACCATGATCAGGGTTCATCTCAATTACGAGTTTCCCTATTTCCTTACCTAACTCTAGATTTCCATGTATCTTGCAGGCTTTAAGCAGTGACCCCCAAATGATTGCATTTGGTTCAACAGGCATTCTCTTGATGAGATCTATAGCTTCTATCAACAATCCGGCTCGGCCCAGTACATCAACCATGCATCCATAGTGCTCGATTGTTGGACTCGAGGTGTGACCTTCATGACCGTTCTTTATTATGCTTTTGAACATCGATTTCGCCTCCTCAACCATTCCTGCATTACTGCAAGCAGTCAGAATAGCTGTAAATGTGACTTGGTTTGGCGTGATTCCTTCTGCTTTCATTTTCTTAAACCAAGAAAGTGCTTCTCTTCCTTGCCCATGGATAGCACACCCAAAAATCATTGCAGTCCATGCATGAACACTTTTGTTCCCTACCTTCTCAAAAATCTCAAGAGCTTTTCCCATATTGCCACACTTTGCATACATGTCTATCAGAGCACACCCTAGCATTGAATCTATCTTCATCCCACTTCTGTTGATATGTTCATGAATCCATCTCCCCTGATCCAAGGCTCCAAGGTGAGAGCAAGCAGAAAGTGCACTGGTCAGTACGAGACTATCGAGTTTCATGTCTGCAGCCTGCATTTTTTGAAACACTTCCAAAGCTTCAATGTCAAACCCTGCCTGAACATACCCCGAAACCATTACAGTCCAGGAAATTGCATTCTTTGTCGGCATCATTTTGAAAAGCTCAGTTGCTTTCTTAATCTCCCCACATTTCATGTACCCATTTATCATCGTGTTCCAAGTAACAGTGTCATGTAGGTTTGTTGACAGGTTAAAGAGATGGCGTCCATAGTTTACACCACCAGAGCTAGTGTATGCATGAAGAATAGCATTGGTGGCATGAACTTGGGAGCCAAACCCTAATTTTATGACCTGACCGTGAATTTGTCTGGTCTCTTCAAAAGCTGACAGATTCGAGCAAGCTTTGAGCAAGAAAGGAAAGGTGTGAGTATTACGTGGAACTGACTGAGTCTGCATCTGGGTGTACAGAATCAAGGCCGCCTCTGGTTCGTTGCTGTTGGCATATCTTCTAATCAGAGTGTTCCACTTGAAAGTGTTCAAGACTAGGCCCGTCTTCAACATGTGAGCTTGAATTTGCTCCAGCTCCTCCGCACTTCTACATCCATTTAGCAGAGCTTCTGCTGTTAGTGGAACATGCCAGGTTGCCATGTAAACTGTTCTGCGGGTTGATGGATGTATTTACAAAACATCATTTATAGAAACCAATATTATCGAGGCAGTTCATTGTGTGTGGCTCAAAACGTTCAGTAGCTTTGGATAATGTTCCTGATAAATATTTGACATAACTCTCCTCTCATTCACGGCTTCCCTCATTCTTGCATTTTCAGAAAGAAAGAAAGAAAGAAAGAAACCCATGACAAGGAAAGATCCAAAAGATTCAATTCAACCCAAATATTGACATTCCACCAGACCCAAAAATCCAATCCAAAAGATTCAACCCAAATATTGACATTCCACCAGACCCAAAAATCCATTCTTTGTTTTAGAACTGTCCATTTAACGAGCCAAGCAATAAAAAAGCTACCAAGTACAACTACTTCGCTCTCAAGTCCAACAACGTTATCAGTGTTTTTTTTTTATACAAAAGATAATCTTATATTGATTCACAAAATAGACAGTTACACCCTGGAATTCACCCAAGTCTGAAAATGAAAGGAACGGCTAATGGTTGGGTATAAAGAAAGGATTTTTCTAGTCACCATATGGGCTACCCTATTACTACGCCGACCTACGAACCGAACACTATAACCTGACTGGGCATGGAGACAATTATAAATTTCTTCAAGAACAGCACCCATCCTGTTATCTCCAAGGTCCCCCCGATTGAGCTTATCCATAATGACTTTGGCATCGCCTTCAAACCTCACATCAGTAAGCCCTATCCCGCGACACCAAAGCACCGCCTCCCTAAGCACCAATAGCTCCACAGCCATCGGTTCATCAATAACTGGGAATTGCACACCCGCAGCCAAACTGATCCCTCCTGTAGGATACACAAGAACCATTCCCCCAGCCGAATGAGACCCCCTCCTAGTGGCCCCGTCCCATCGACATATCATACGCAAGTCATCCTCAGTGTTCGCTAGATCTGGGCTAGCGGGAGGGACTTGCGAGATGGAACGGGCAGGCAGCCGAATCCATTCCTCATATTGCTGAACAAACTGGCGCATCAACACTTGGACCCCAAATGGTTTCCCTTCAAATACCACCCAATTACGAGACCGCCAGAAGATGGCAACCACCGCCATAAACACAGTTGGTTGATTGATCAAGGCCAATAGCTTTTTAAGGAACAAAGGAAACGTTTGACGAGGCAATCCCTCACCCAGATAGTCCAACCCCGAGTAATCCCAGAGGGCTCGAGCCACCGGACAATAAAGGAACAGATGCTCCAAAGATTCTGAACTATCCCAGCAAACCGGGCATCGAGGGTGAACCGGAACCTTACGTTCAATGAGAGCCTCAGTAGTTGGGAGGGCCCGGGAGAGGATTTGCCAGACAAACACCGTCAGTTTAGGGGGAATATTTGCCTCCCAGAGACGAATCCAACTCGCTTTATCCATCCAGCTGACAGAAGATTTCCAACCACCCCGCCTCTTATCAAGTGCAACAGCCAGGTGATAGGCAGATTTGACCGAAAATAACCCATCCGCTGTCTCATGCCAGATCAACCTGTCATCCACATTCAGACGTGGGAGAGGAATAGTTTTAATGGCTCGACAAGTAGGAGGATCAAACCACTGAGCAAGTTTGCGGTCACACCAACGACCTTCCCCAGGACAAATAACGTCGGCTACTAATTGGTCTCCCCCTTCAGGCAAGATGCAGGGGTTATACTGCAGGGGGTCCAGCTGAACTGAGGGATCCAGTTGAACTTTAACAGAGAGGCCGATTGGCCATTCCCGATTTGCCATCTCAATCCCTTTTCCAATAACTGGCGCCCAAAGAGGATACTCTGCCACCCCCAGGAAGGCCGGGATCGGGCTGTAGCACCGAGAAAGGTCCCAGTGGGGAAGTATTTCCCTTTGTACACTTGGGCCAGAAGGGACTGGGGATCAGTAAGGATGCGCCATCCGATTTTGGCTAACAGAGCCTGATTAAACTGCTCAAACCGACGAAATCCCATCGTCCCATCATGCTTGCTTCTACACATATGACACCAGGAGACCCAGCGAATCTTCGAATGTCCCTCAGCCGCCCCACCAGAACCTAGCCACATGTTTATCTAGAAGACGACACAGCGAAAGCGGCAATCTGAAGCAAGACATGACATGCAGGGGTAGAGCCAAAGCAATAGACTTGATGAGGGTCTCCTTGGCCGCCCAGGATAACGTTTTCTGCTTCCAACCTTGTAGTCTCTCTAATAATTTCTCCTCCAAGTACCGGAACGTAGCCATTTTCGACCGAGCAAAAAGCGTGGGAAGTCCTAGGTATTTATCATGGACGCCCACTGCTCCAACCCCCAGAATTGTAGCCAGGAATTCCTGATCAGGCAGCACAATGTTTTTGCTGAAGCAAACTGCCGATTTTTCCAGGTTTACGCATTGACCGCTCAATTCCTCATACTCATTCAAGACCACAATCAGATTCTCACATTCCTGAAGAGTTCCACTCAGAAACAAGTAAGAATCATCAGCGAAGAACAAGTGAGAGATTCTGGGGGCGCAAGGAGCCACTTTAACTCCCTGAAGCTTCTTTTCCGTAATTGCCTTTCTCAAGAGAGTCGTAAATCCTTCAGTGCATATAACAAATAACAGAGGGGACAACGGATCCCCCTGCCTAAGCCCCCTAGATGGTTTAAAATAACCGGACGGGGTTCCATTCATAAGCACAGAGAAAGAGGATGAACGGAGGCACTCAAGAATCCAACATTGCCAAACAGAGCTAAAACCCATCTTATTCATAACTACGAGGAGAAAGGGCCATTCGACTCTATCATAGGCATTTTTTCATGTCAACCTTTAGAGTCATGTACCCTTTCTTACCTCGTGTTTGATTTTCAAGTAATGCATCAACTCATGGCCAAGGAGGATATTATCAATTATCTGACGATTACGGATAAAAGCATTTTGTCCCTTAGAGATGATGTGAGGAAGGATGCTCGCAAGCCTTTCAGCCATGATCTTGGTTAAAATTTTGTAAACAAATTGGCACAGACTGATTGGGCGTAATTGTCGCATAGTCTCCACATTATCCACTTTGGGAATTAAGGTGAGCCAAGTGTGATTGAAACTTTTGAGCATCCGACTCGTCTCAAAGAAAGAACAGACTACTGCAATCACCGAATCCCCAACAACATCCTAGAAAGCCTTAAACAATTTCCTCGTAACCCCATCAGATCCCGAGGCTTGTTTAGACCCCATGGAGAACACGGTTTTCCGGACTTCACTAGGTAAGACTTCGGCCGTCAAGGCAGCGTTCATCACAGGTGTAATACTATGCAAAATGGGGATATTGTCGACCCGCTCAGCCATATTAGGGTTTTGATATTCGGAGGTGAAGAGCGATTGGTAAAAGTCCATGGCAATGGCTGCTTTGCCAGGCTCCTCAGTGACCCAGTCACCAGTATCACTACGGAGACCAGCAACAAAATTCCGCTTTCTCCTAGCACGAGTAACCGTATGGAAATAGGAGGAGTTTTGATCCCCCTTCTTCAGCCACCGGACCCTGGATTTTTGTTGCCAGTATATTTCCTCCGCCTCCCATTGACGATTAAGCTCAATCTCGAGATTTCTAACCTCATTCCAATCAATTGGATGTATCAACTTGACCCGCTCAATCTCCGCCTGGGGGGTTTTGATATTCCGAAGGGAGTTTGTAGTGCCCGCCCTACTCCAATCATAGAGTAGGTGACGAAGCCGTTTGAGTCGCTCCCATAACAACATTATCAGTGTTACAACTTACAACACTCGACTTATTTGACATTATCCTGAACATAAACTAAAAAGGGTTTGCAGTTTTAGGGGAGGCGGGGAGACAGCTGTAGATATCAACACAATGTTATGACGACATGGCTTTGCTCATGCTATGTCGCCAGAGCAGCACCAAGCCTGAACCCCTAAAAAACGCTGCCAATGGCTATTGATGAGAACATGGATCAGCTTGCAAAGTTTTAGGACGACTGATTAGGGTCTTCTCTATCTATTCTATGCTGTCTGGTAGTTTTGACTTCTCAGCATCGAGGCGCCTCAATGTTGAGGAACTCAGCTTTTGACCACTAGATTCTTCAGAAACAAGTTCCACGACTTCAACCTACACAAGTCTCAGTTGATGAAGTGATCATCTGAAATTCAGTTCATTAATTGGAAGATACGGAGATTGAGGGGGGAAGCAAAAACCTTTAGCTGTGAAAATCCCTTTTCAGTTCTCTTCCTGTTAACTGCCAGACCGCCTGGCACTGTCTCTTTGCTGCCAAAAAAATCAGGAGAATATAAGAACTCATCTGTGAGGTTGCTATGACAACTAAGACAGCCTGAAGGGTATTGCGGCTATAGGAAGCAATACAAACTTATATGTTCATACTTTCATCAATACAGGACAATGTTATACTTATGCAGAGGTAAAAGACCCAAAACATAAGGTAACAACTTACCTAACCACTATCGCTTCCAAATCTTCGACAACAATCGAAGGTCCATATGGATCCATTATTGGTTCAGCTTGCACCATGAGTTCTGGCTTGACGGACTGCATAAGATGTCAACTGACATTTTGAGTGCTGTCATTGGTCAACAGCTAATGCTTCTTCACAGAACAATTCATGTTTCAGATAGACCTAAAGTATAGTTTACTACAGCATGCAAATCCAACCACGGGTGAAGGACCCTAACCATTATCTAGCTTCAGCCACTGGCATAAACTGTGCGCACCGAATACTCGAGGAAATCGGACCCTCAACCATAAGTTTTTGTAAAAACACAACTGATCCATTCATTCCACAACATACCTTAATATAGTTCTCAACATTCTGCATCCTTTCCTCCACAGGCTGTATCAAGTCAGCGAACTGAAAACAATGAGACCCAACTCCCACATCATTAGAAAGACTCCAATTACTGCAGTCCTAAGGGGGGCCATTAATCCCTGTGGCATTCTTTGTCACTCAGTAATGACAGAAATGAACAGCCAAAAATCGTTTCCTCGCCCAGGAACTGGATTATAGCTAACTGAAAGCATAATGTTGGGATGATGATGATAAGAAATATAGATTTTTGATCAAGAAAAGAAACCTGCTTGTTGGTAAGCATAGGGCCATCGCAAACTCCTACCACAACCCTTTCCCTTGCAAGCTCAGCTGCTGCCTACTATTTCTCCCAATGACCCAAAATCAGAACCCAATTCAAAATTAAGCCAGAAAACGAAGATAAGAAAAGGGATCGGAGAGGGGAAGGTAGACCATGAGGAAAAGTCGGTGACCATCGTGGAGGCGATCAAAGGTGCCGCCGAGCACAACAGCTGCATATGTATTCGGCGGCGAAATCTTGTAGTTAACCGCCTCCTCTTGGTCCTGGACGGCCATTTCTTTCGGGTAGCAAGCGGAGGCACAAGAGGAAATGAAAGGGAAGGACAAAAAGCCTTTTCCCCTCTGTTCAACGACGACCAACTGCTCGTTTCCGCCAACAGCTATTTCTTCCTCCCTCGCCGAGCGCTAGATTCTTATGTGAAAGTTACAACGAACCTGGACCAGAGAATGGACCCAACCTAATAGTGTGTTCATGCGTGCTTTTTCTTTTTACAAAAGATAATCATTTATATTGATTCACAAAAAGAAAGTTACATCCTAGAAAGCAGCCAGGTCTGCAAATCAATCACACGACTCGCAGTCGGGGACAATGAAAGGGCCTTTCTAGCCACTACATGGGCTACCCTATTGTTACTCCGACCTACAAACCGAATTCTAAATCCCGGATGCGAGGAAAAACAAGACACAACTTCTTCCAGCACAGCCCCCATCCGACTATCTCCCTTTTCTGCCCGAACGATCTTATCAATGACAACCTTAGCGTCCCCCTCAAAGCAGACTTCCAGAAATCCACGATCGAGACACCACCAAAGTGCCTCACGAAGCGCCAGTATATCCACCACAAGAGGGTCATCAATGCAAGGGAAATGGACCCCGCGAGCCATCAAAATATCCCGTCCGGGGGTCATCAGAACCATCCCACCGGCAGAGTGGGACCCACGCCGCGTCGCTCCATCCCACATACAGACCGCCGACCCATTACTAATATTCTCCAGGATAACGGGAGGCAGCCTCGGAGCATAATTATGTTTAGCTCGCTCCCCCGGCACACTTAACCACTCATCCAACTGTTGATTAAACTGTCGCATCAAGGCCTGGATCCCGAACTGTTTGCCTTCAAAAACAACCCAATTCCGGGAGCGCCAGATCCTCCAGAGAACAGCAACCACAGCCATAACCAAATTCGGTTGATTAATGAGGGCCAATAAACGTTTAAGAAAAAGCGGGAAAGTCTGACGAGGCAACCCTTGGCCCAGATATTCCAGCCCTGCATAATACCAGAGAGCACGAGCCACAGGGCATTCCAGAGACAAATGCTCCATGGTTTCTGCTGCATCCCAACACACAGGACATCTAGGGTGAACCAAAACATCCTTTTCTCTCAAAGCTTCTGTTGTGGGGAGAATTCGATTGAAAATTTGCCAAACAAACACCTTTAACTTAGGTGGTATGTTAGCATCCCATAAGCGGAGCCAGCTGGGCCTATCCATCCAACTAATCGTCGCTCTCCAACTGGTCTGACGCTGCTCCAATCTGACCGCCAGGTGATAGGCCGATTTGACAGTAAAAAATCCATCCGGTGTATCATGCCAGACAAGACGATCATCGACACTCTGCCGTGGAAGCGGAATAGTTTTTATGGCTCGACAGGTGGGAGGATCAAACCATTGTCCAAGCTTCACGTCACACCACCGACCTTCACCAACACAGATCACGTCCTCTACCAATAACTCACCCTCAGCTGGAAGCACCATGGGACTATATCTCGGGGGAGAAGGGTGTAACTGGGGAACCCAATTCGATGAGAGAAGAGACGCTTCCCGCCCATTCCCAATCTGCCACCGAAGCACTTACTCCAGCAACTCTCTGCCAAACAAAACACTTTGCCAGCCCCAGGAAGGTCTCGACCGAGCTTTAGCAGTAAGGAAAGTACCATTAGGGAAATACTTGCCTTTATAGACTTGGGCTAGCAGAGAGTGGGGATCAGTAATGATCTGCCACCCAACCTTAGCCAACAAGGCCTGGTTAAAGAGCTCAAATCGACGGAACCCCATACCCCCATCATGTTTACTCTTGCACATATTTCTCCAAGATACCCATCTAATTCTCTCATGGCCTTCCGTTGCATTCCACCAAAACCGAGCCACATGTTTATCTAAGAGCTGACACAAGGCCAGGGGAAGTTTGAAGCAGGACATGACATGTAGCGGCAGCGCCAAGGCTACAGACTTAATCAAAACCTCCTTAGCTGCCCACGACAGAGTCCTTTGCTTCCAACCCTTGAGACGCTCCAGAAGTTTTTCCTCCAAATACCTAAACGTAGCCGTTTTGGAGCGGGCTATCAGAGTAAGTAAGCCGAGATATTTGTCATGAACGCCGACTACCCCAACCCCCAGAATCTGGGCCAAGAACTCCTGATCAGGTACCAGAATGTTTTTACTAAAGCACACTGCCGATTTATCTAGGTTAACCCTCTGGCCACTGAGTTCCTCATAATCATTCAACACTTCAATCAGATTTTCGCATTCCTGAAGGGAGCCCCTGAGGAATAAATACGAGTCATCTGCAAAGAACAAGTGTGAAATCCGCGGAGCCCGGGGAGCCACTTTAACCCCCTGCAATTTGCGCTCAGTAATTGCCTTATTGAGAAGAGCCGCAAATTCCTCTGTACAAAGCACAAAAAGAAGAGGAGATAGAGGGTCCCCCTGCCGAAGTCCCCTAGAAGGAGTGAAGAAGCCTGCCGGAGTACCATTCATCATAACCGAAAAAGAAGTGGATTTGAGACACTCATGAATCCATTCTCGCCAAGTAGCACTAAATCCCATCTTTTCCAGAACCGCAAGGAGAAATGGCCATTCGACTCTATCATAGGCCTTTTCCATGTCAACCTTTAGAGCCATGTACCCTTTCTTGCCTTTCGTTTTGATTTTCAGATAGTGCATTATTTCGTGACCCAGGAGGATGTTTTCGATTATTTGGCGTTCCCTAATAAAAGCATTTTGGCCACGGGAGATGATATGCGGTAGGATACCAGCTAAACGTTCAGCCATAATCTTTGTAATGATCTTATAGACAAACTGGCATAGACTAATCGGGCGAAGCTGCTTCATGTTTGCCACATTATCAACTTTGGGAATCAAAGTTAACCAAGTGTGATTAAAACTACGCAACATCCTACTCGTCCTGAAGAACGAGCACACCGCTTCAGTCACCGAATTGCCCACAATATCCCAGAAGGCTTTAAAAAACTTTCCCGTGAACCCATCAGAACCAGGAGCTTGCTTTGATCCCATCGCAAATACCATTTTCCGAACCTCACCAGGTAAAACCTCAGCCGTGAGGCTGGCATTCATTTCCGGAGTAATGCTTTGGGCAATGGGCAAACCGGCTACTCTTTCCCTCATATTCCCGACCTGATTTTCCGTGGTAAACAGGGTTTTGTAGAAGCTACAAGCCATGTCTGCCTTCTCCGCCTCCCCCGTGACCCAGTTACCACTGTCAGTCCGGAGGCCCTCAACAAAGTTTCGTTTACGACGATTTCTCGTAACAGTATGAAAGTACGAAGTGTTCTTGTCCCCTTTTTTTTAGCCAATGAACTTGAGATTTTTGTTGCCAATAAATCTCCTCCGCCTCCCATTGTCGCGTCAGTTCTAACTCTAGCGAGCGGATCTCATCCCAATCGATTGGATGTATAAGTTTAATTCGATCAATTTCCGCCTGGAGGGTCCGAATATTACACAGAGAATTCGTCGTACCCGCCCTACTCCAATCGTAAAGAAGATGCCGGAGTTTTTTAAGGCGTTCCCATTGCTGAAACATTGGGGTCCCCTGAACCTCTTCACGCCAGACATAATTCACCATCGCCCAAACCTCTGGATTGTCAGCCCAACGCGCATCAAAACGGAACAAAGGGCGAGAGTGTCGGGTATATGGTTTATCGGAGAGGATGAGGGCTCGATGATCAGAACCTTGATCCGTAAAATGTTTGACCAGAGTTTTTGGGTAACGATCAATCCAATTTTGAGAGCACAATGCTCGATCAAGCCTCTCACGAATACACGCAACCCCCATCCTTTTGTTAGTCCAGGTGAATTGGTCCCCCTGGTAACCAGGATCGTGAAGTCCAAGGTCTTGAATGAAATCCCGGAGGCTAGCATCAGATAATTTGGATAATTTATCTTATTTGGTTTAGGTTATTTGGTTTGATCTAACCAATTGATTCAGGTCTAATTGAACACATTTTTATCCCCGTTTCACTTGGGCGTTTGTAGTATTTGAACTTCTAAAAGGGTGGTTTTACGCTAGGTTTTGTGCGTTTTAGTGTATTTCAGGATCTAACAAGTGAAACCAGCCCCAGAGTCGAAAGTTGGACGAAAAGAGGCAAAGAGGGTGATTCAGGCGAGGTTCACTGGTTATCATTGGAGTTCACGGTCTCCTATGGCCGTGAACTGAAGCCCAAAACCGTGAACCATGAGGCGTCCAGGGAGAAATCTGCAGTTACTAGTGCAAGGCGAGTTCACGCTCAACAAGACCGTGAACATAGAGGCCAAACCGTGAACTCCTGATGATGAAGCGGTGTGTTTCGACACAGCGCTTTGTGTTCACGGACGCGTTGAAGAGTTCACGGGCGTGAACTGAGGCCGTGAACTGAGCCCGATCCTGGTATAAAATGTGAGATGAAAGGAAGAGAGAGGGGGGAGCCCAAGTGCGAGAAAGTGTCTTCTTCTTCAGATTTTAGAGAGAGGAAGGACGAACCAAGGAAGAAGGAAGGCTAGGGTTCGCTCCATGTGGTGAATTGGGAAGAATCTCCCCAAGAGAAGATCAACACAAGCTTAGAGGAGATTGGAGGACTACCATGATGGTTTCTACTACCTCTTTTTCTTGTGTTCTTCCCCTTTCTAGCGTGGAGTAGTACTCTTTTTCACTTGGGTGTTGTGAAACTCTAACTATTTGCCATGTAGTTGTATTGTGACTTGAATGATTGTTTATGGGTGTTGTTTAATTTAATGATTGAGGTATTTTTTAGGGTTAATATTTTCGTATGGCCTAAACTTTGACCAAAATAAACATCCTGACCAATCTTTTCGATCTATAACATTCTGGCCCGAACTATACACCAAAATAAACAATTTGGCCAGATCCAACTTTTGACCTTTAACTTGGACGGTCAAACGCGTTGACCGTTAGTCAACGCGCCATGTCACCGCCAACTCAGCAATTTTAAATTAAAAAAAAAATTAATTTCCACCTATTCCATTTTATTTCCTTTCTCAATTTGAAGACGAAAAAAAAATCTCCAAAACGCAGGACCCTGCCCTAATCCCCATTCTTCATCTTCTTCGTCTCGTCTCCTATCCTCTCCTCTCTTCCTCCAGCCGCCAACGATGTTGTAGAGAAGGAAAGATTATCCCAGCGCCTCCGCCGCTGCCTCCGCCGAAGTCGCTGTCGCTGCCGAAGGGAGAAAGAAAGAGACATGTCGAGGAGATCTGTGAAAAACGCCGACGAAGGTTCCACTTCTTCCCGTTCGACGAACACAGGCACCATTCGTTGTAAAGTGCACAAAGCCCCTTGTGTGATCAATACATCTCGCACTAGCTTGAATCCTGGAAGAATGTTCTTCTCTTGTCCATATTGGAAGGTAGGTTGAAATCCACCTTTAAATCTTTGTTTTCGACCAACTGGATCTCGATTCACCTCTTCCATTTCTGTAGGATGACAAAAAGAGTTGCCATTTTTTCGATGGGTTGATGACGAGCCGGATAGTGACTCGAGGGTTGATGGATTGATGGAAGAGAATCATGAACTGAAATTGAAGCTTGGTGATATGGAAGCTCTAGAAGGCCGTGTTCGTAAAGCAGAAGAGAAGGCCAGGAAACGGAAAGAAGAAAAGGCTGCGATTTTAGAGGACTTGGCCAAGCTTGCCGAACTGAATTCTGCAATTTGTCTCGAACTACAAAAGATGAGACACACGGTTTATGGCCTTCAAAATAGGATGAATTTATGCTGTTTTTGTGTGCTATTCGTAGTCGTTGTTGTAATCGTGTGTGGACCACTTTGTATGTAATGGAGATTTCACGAGGAAGAAGAATGGTGTTTGTAGTGGAGATTGAATAAAGCGTTTCGTTTTAAGCGAGTTAGTACATCAACCAAACTTGCAATCACCATCATTTTAACATGTCCTAGCAATAGCATGCACAAAATAAGGCAGAATCAACAAGGTGTGCCATAAGTTGGGATTCTGAGTACCTAGCAAAAGAGTCACTAGAAGCTTTTAACATGTCCTAGCATGTACAAACTAAGGCAGAATCGTTGGTGTGCCATAAGTTTGGATTCTGAGTACCTAGCAAAAGAGTGACTCGAAGCTTTCTACATGTCCTAGCATGTACAAAATAGGTTCCTACTACTCCACATCTAAAACATGTGCTAACATGTGCAACCATGTACAAAATTACAAAAGTGTGGAGTTTCCTACAACCTAATCTACCAACATTCTTCTAGCTTCCCTAAGGCGTCTCTGGCTGAGTAGCAGGCGGCTGTGTAGCACCTACAGCAGGCACATCTGGTGCAGTAGCTTGCACATGTCCACCAGCCCCTGGAACCCTCGTACTCATCTGCCAAAAAACAACGAATTATCCTCTTACTAACTTAAAACATTAGATGAATGTTAATATACAAACAATTAACCTTACCCTAGCATACATGTTGCCTGTCGCCTCATCAATATAAGTTCCAATTCCGCACATTGCCATCCTCATTTCCCTATCTGTTACATGCCTACTGGATGATCCAACATGAGGAGCCTACATAAAGCCAAACATTCCATGCAAACCTAAACATTCACAGGTTCACACTATATTCAATCACCATATATGAATCGAATCATACACCATTCACACTGTACCTGAATACCAACATTCATAGGACATCTTCTTACGTTATGAAACTCTGATGAACACTTTGAGTATCTATTCTTCTTCCTTTGCTTGGGCTGAATTTATACGAATCAGCATTAATGAAATGAAAACATGACTGTGAAGGAAAAAAATTGTGGAGCGATTAAGTTAAAAATGCAATTACCTCGTTGGTGGTGTTTTGGTCAGCAGCTACATTTCCTTGTGTCCTAGGTTGTGCTGCTCTTGACTTCTTCTTTGGAGGTTCTGGTGGCTTCCTTGGATTCTTGCAGTTCCTTTTGTTGTGACCATCTTTTCCACAGTTGGTGCAAGTGATCACAAGGATGTGTCGAGTAGCAATTTTCCCATTTCCATCTCTAGAAGGTTTCCTAGTTACCTCCCAAGTCTCCCTCTTCCGCTTAGTTTTTGGACGTCCAGGCATCCGACGAATTTGTGGTGGATACACCTTGTATCCTTCCACTGGAAGCCATGCTTGTCGACCCTCTGATGGTGGGATAGGGTGCATGTAGGCAGATTTTACTCGATTCATCAAGAAGTACTCATCCACAAAATCCTCCGGATGCCCTCGCAAGTAAGTTATGGAAGAAAAGGCATGGCAGCATGGTATTCCATTCAGCAACCAGAAACCACATGTGCAGCTACCCTTCTTGATATTAACCATAAAACCTTTGTCTCCTATGGTTACCTCATGCTGATCTTCTGTAGAAGGGCGGCTGGTGCACATTCGAGCCAAATGCTTTGCCTTCTCTAGTTTTCCCCTAACCACTGGTGGAAATTTATCCCTCCAATGCTCCATCATTCTTCTGTTCTTGACAATTCGTGTCATTACAGCCACTCGGATACCCTCCAACATTGCAATTGGTCTCAATGACCTAAACCGCAAGATCCAGTTGTTGAAAGACTCACAAATGTTGCTTTCTACTGAGTCACTCTTGGAGAATGTCTGCATGAAAACTCTACAGAAACTTGCTGGTTCCATGGCCATGAAGTCTGTATCAGCACCCTCTCCAAGTTCCTTCAATTTATCAACAGCAGCCCTCCAATCAGGTTCATTTAATGCATAGACCGCCTCCCAGTATAGATCAGAAGGTATAGCTGACTTGTGTTTTTCTCTGAAGTTCGCGTGGACATGACGAGTACACTTTCGATGTTCTGCAGAAGGCATACAGTCATTTAGCGCTTCCACCAGCCCCTGCAAGATCCACAAGTAAACACATAAAGTCAATTGCAGAATTATAACAAATCAATGTATATTAACCAAGTAGGAATGCATACCTTTTGTTGGTCAGAGACTACTGTCCAACCGCCACCATCCTCGATCCGAAGTAGCTCTTACAATGCTTTAATGAACCAGGTCCAGGAACTTTTGTTCTCCGATTCAACGATTGCCCACGCTATTGGGAACATATGATTGTTATCGTCCTTTCCAACTGCCGACAGTAACATCCCTTGTACTTCCCCTTTCAAGAAACAACCATCCAAACAAAAGAAAGGCATGCACCCTTCCAAGAACCCCCTTGCCAAACTAGAGAAACCAATGAACAAACGCTTGAAATATACATTCTCCGAGTTAGGCACAGAATCAACCTCGAGCAGAAATGACCCTCTACGGTCAACTCGCAGCAAATGACCAATATAGTCTCTGAGTTTGTGGAAATCCTCAGTAAGCGAACCATAAAGCAGTCTTCGAGCCTTGAGCCGTGCCTTATAACATGTTTGGTTAGACACGTAGAGATTGTGTTTGGTCTTCAATTCAGCTGCTATTAAGTTAACATTCCATGCTTGATTAACACGGAAAACATCCAGGTACTCAGATGCAATCCACTTATAACCCGCCGCACGAATCCGAATTGCTCGAGGGCAAATATGATCTGGCCCAGAATATTTAACCATGAATGCTTCTTTTCCACGAAACCAACTACCATAAACCTTCCACATGCAACCATACTCTTCCCTTTGTGCACACACATCTTCCTTCCTCGTCGCACTGCTCCTAACCCATCTAATATCAGCTCCCATATTAATTGCATTCTTCATAACAGGAACTTTAAATTGATTACCATCTAAAAACCGCATATGTGTTTTGAACTTCAAAGTGTTATGATCACACTTGGGATCATAACACAAGCTCTTGTCGAAGCTTGTATCACCATCATCTTCAGCAATGTTCCCTCTAACATGGGCAGAATCCTCAGAGGCCCTATACTCTGTATCAACTGATCCTTCGGCATTGATCTCCTCCTCCACGTTCACTTGTTCTGCACCCCTTTCAATACCCTCATCAATCTCCACACTCTCATCAAATTACAAACTCTCATCAAGCTCCACAGTTTCAGCTTCAGCTTCAGCTCCACCCTCAATACTAGCACTATCCAAAGCAAAGTCAGCATGATGGTTGACATCCCACGCAAACAATTGATTCACTGAACTACCTTCACCATCAAGATCTGCTATCATTCTTCTATTCCTTCTCCTAGAATCATCTCTTATCTCATGGTATTCCTCGTCGGATGTCTGAGCATCATCATCCTCTAGCCGAACAAACTCAGGTGCAGCTGAATTGTCTCCAGATGCATCTTCCCCTTCAGGAAAATGGCCATAATTGTCTCCCATATAACCCAGCTCTCCGAGATCCCTTGTTGCCTCAAAGTACACCTTTATATCTCCAGTTCCAACCAAAGGCAGCAACCCAGTTAAAACCTCCACATCCGACACAATTTCATGCAATCCTGTCGCCATACTTTCCCCAGGTGTCAAGTACCATAGCCTCTCGACGGAAATATATTCCAAATCTTCAATCAAAGTCTTCGTCAATTCGAAGTAGGACAAGACATCACGATTCACATTGACGACATCGACAACCCCCCCAACGTACTGTGGAACACCCCCCGACATATCCATCGCGCCTCCATGACGCAGAATAAGCTCAACAATGTCGTCCATTCTAGCAAAGACAAAAAAATGATACGAGATTACTTTAATCTCAATTTCCATTACTTTAATCTCAATTTCCAGCTCTTAACCCGACAAATGCTGGTCACGAGCATTAGTTTACTAGAAAACCCTAATCCTTGGATTTTATCGAGGATTAAAAAAAGAATGGAAATGGAGAGAAGAGAGGGATTGATTGCTTACGTTGCTGGTGGGGAATGCGATCTGTTGGCTGTGGTCCCTTTGGAATGTGGACCCGTCGTCGTCCTTTTCTCCAAGTCGTTATCGATGCACAGAGAGAAGCAGAAATCGCAAGAAATCGCGAGGGAGTAGAAATCGCGAGGGAGGAGGGGGAAAATCTTCGCGAAGTAGAAGGGAGAAGGGTGAAATCGATGGCGGCGGCGGCGGGCTCAGAAGAACGCCCACCGCTGCATTTTTTAGTCGGTCAGGTGAGGAGATTCGAGGATGAAGGAAGGAGAAGGTGAGGTCGGCGGGTGAATTCTGTGGATGGTGATGGGAGCGATATGGATAAGGTAGGGTTAGGGCAGGTCCTGCTTTTGGAGATTTTTTTTTCCGTCTTCAAATTGAGAAAGGAAATAAAATGGAATAGGTGGAAATTAAATTTTTTTAATTTAAAATTGCTGAGTTGGCGGTGACATGGCGCGTTGACTAACGGTCAACGCGTTTGACCGTCCAAGTTAACGGTCAATAGTCTGATCTGGCCAAATTGTTTATTTTGGTGTATAGTTCGGGTCAGAATGTTATAGATCGAAAAGATTGGCCAGGATGTTTACTTTGGTCAAAGTTTAGGCCATACGAAAATATTAACCCTATTTTTTATGATGATTGTACATGTGTGTGCTTAGCAATCTAATTGGCCATTCTAACATAGGTTAGAGGGGGAACCCACTTTCTAAAAGAGGCTCAATTGAGTTGGGATTCCTTGGGCTTGACAAACCACCTACCTAGGTTAATGTAGGGCAAACCTCTATCTTGAATTAAGTAACTAGGTTAATCATGATTAAGCCGTCCAACCATTGGTTTGAAGGAGAAGGTAAGTCAACCCTAAATTGCCTTAACCAAGATGGCTACTCTTGTAGCCTATAATGTAACCCTTGGTTTGGCAATTGAGAGTGTGATCCTCGATCATAGTTGCACCTCCTAGCGGTTCATGATTGCCTTGCCCATAACGTCCCATTGTCCACGTGCCATGGTAGTAGTTAGGGGGAAGCGTCACCCGAGTGATTCTTCTTATCTAGAGCTTTCAAACCATTTACCTTTGCTTTGTTTTGATTTAAATCTCATAGTTTTCAACCAAAAACCAATTCTCTAGATAATGCTTCAAACAATGGAAGTAGGGGTACACGGGTCGGCCCGGTTTGATATTTAAACATACTTGCCCTTTATTGCACCCATCTAAGGTTTATACTTGGACCTTAGGTGGGAATTTATTGTGATATTCGGGACGAGTCAAGTTTTTGGCGCTGTTGTCGGGGAACTTCGGTTCGTTATCTTGAAAAAAAATATTTGATGTTAATCTATCTTTTAATTTTTAGCTTTGTTTGCTTGAGTGCTTTGCTTGTGCTAGACGTGGTTTTGTTCTCTAAGTGTGTGCAGGGAGGTGCATGACCCGGAGTAATCTGGCGCCCTTAGTACCGCTTGATGAGAACATCAACCGGACTCTCCGATTTCTAGCTCGGGAGAGGGAGTTAGCGGAAGCAAGGAGGAGAAGTGAAGAGAGGGGACAACAATTGTGTCCCGGAGTTAGTGGAGTAGAAGTTGAAGGAGTTGAAGGAGAAGTTGATATTGGAGTTGAGATGGCAGAGAACCAAAGAGGAGGAGCATTCGCCCAAGCTCACAACCACAATGACGAGGCGGCCAAGGAGGAAGCCCCGAGGACAATGGGGTATTAAATGGCCCCACGGCCGGCGAACATTTAGTCGCCTATCCTACACCCTCCCGGGGCGGTGATAGACCGTTATTTACACATGTTTTTACCCCCGTTCTTACACCGTTTGAGGTATTGATTCTCGTGTTTTAGGCCGATTTCACGCTAGGTTGTGCTTGGTTGTGATATTTCAGGTCCTAGTACGTGAATGGAGGCTTGGGAGCGAGTTTGGGGTCGATTGGACGAAGATCGGACGCATGGCGAGGTTCTAAGGAAGCCACACGGGCAGTCCTGGGTATCACACGACCGTGCAAATTGAAATTGTGGCCGTGTGACTTTCGCCAAGAGCAAACACGGGCAACCCAGGAAATCCACACGGCCGTGCAACCCTGGCCGTGTGGGATGGCTGAAGGCCAACTTAATGATACGCTGCGTTTCGACTCGCAGGGGCAATTGGGTGAGCCATGGGGCCGTGTGGCCTGCCCGTGTGAGTCGGGAAATTCTGGTTTTTCAGCCAATTTCGAGCCAAAAGTGAAGGGGGGGATTTTCAGAGCAAAAACAAAGCCCTAGAGAGAGAAAGTACTAAGAACACACCCTAGAAGCTATCTTAGAGCTGGGTTTCATCGAATCGAGCTTGGAGATCGTCATAGGAGTGGAAATCATCATCCCGGAGCAGATTTTCCTCATCATTATGAGTGTGACTACTCCGATTATTGTTTTCTTCTCTCTCTCTATGGAGTAGAACCCTTCTCTCACTTGGGTATGAAGAACCCTAGTTCCTTGTGTTAGGGATTTGATTGTAATGACTTGGGATGATTATACTGTTTGATTTTAATCGAATGATGCATGTTTATTGAATTGTTTGAAGTCTGATCAGCTTTTCTCGATTTCTGCTGCAACCTAAGATAGATAGAATCTGATGAGGTTGTTAGAGCCTCTTCATTCGATAGTAGTAGATTGGCTATACGAGAGTTAGCCAGTTTACTGCTTTGTAATGGAATTCATTTCCAGTAGTGGAGTTCTGTGTTCATAGCCTCAGCTTTCTATCCCGGTGAAGACTAGTCGTCTGCCGGGTAGTTAGACTGAGAGGGCTTGGTCAGCTTAAGAGATTCCAAGCTACTGTCGGATCTTCCGCAATCTAATCAACAGTGAATCAACCCAGGGGAATTACAATTGAACCTAATCAAGGGGCTAGGGGGACTCATTCCCGAGTGACTCTTACCTGCTTTTGAAAATCGAATCATTTCCTGTTTTCTTACTGCTTTTGCTTTAAACAACAATCAATCGAATTAGTTGTCTAGATAATAGACAATCACGGAGTAAGCGGTAGATCTAGACCCCGGGTTGATAATAGAACTTGCCTGTTACTGCATTCCCGGACTGCGATTACACTTGGTCGCAGTTTGGTGTTGTGTTTTGGCGTGTCAAGTTTTTGGCGCCGTTGCCAGGGAATTCTAGGTTATTGGGGAAACGTGAGAATTTGTTACTCTAGTTTTTTTTTTCTTTATTGCATTTTTCTTTTCCACCTGTGTGCCTTCATGGGTTGCTTCTGCTGATTGTGTGCAGGTAGTGCATGATCCGTAGCCATTCGGGAGATCTACTACCATTAGACCAGGAGCTTGAACGAACCTGCAGGAACTTCAAGCGGGCTCTAAAGGCGCGACTGGCTGCGGAGGAGGCGCTATCACAGCTGCAGATCGAAGAAGAAGAAGAAGAAGGAGAGATGGCTGATCCACAGAACCATGATGTGATCAATCCAGATGAGCAGACCATGGGATCCTACTGGACCGCTAGAGCTGCGGACATGAGGTCATCCATTCAACACCCTCAAGTCCCAGCCAACAATTTTGAGGTGAGCACCTCAGTAATCACCATGCTGCGCGGTTTAGTGGTGTTCCGTGGTAAGGAGGGAGAGTGCCCCCGATCACATCTCAGGCGATTTCACGAGCTCATCGATGGAATCAAGATCAATGGGGTACCAGCAGATGCCATCCAGCTGAGGTACTTCCCATTTACTCTGGAGGGGCAAGCCAAGCAGTGGCTAGACACTCGACCTCCGGGCTCTATCACCACGTTCGCCAACCTGGCGGACAAGTTCCTCACCCGCTACCATCCTCCATCCAAGACAGCTGACCTGCAGAAGCAAATTACACATTTTGCTTAGGATGAGGATGAGACCATCAGGGATGCTTGGGAGAGAGACACCAGTCTCTTTCTCAGGTGTCCCAATCATGGTTCCAATGATGCTTTCAAGGTGGGCACTTTCTATCACGCCCTTTTCCCGGAGGACAAGCAGCTGATTGACTCGGTTTGTGGCGGGAACATGCTGACCAAAATACCGCCACAGCTGAATCAACTCTTTGAGGAGATGTCGGAGAACGGGTACGATTGGGGCACTGCCAGGAGATCGAGACGAGCACCAGGACAGGGTGTGCATGCTGTGGGCACCCAGTCATCTGATTTGGTGCAGGTGGTATCGAAGCTGGTTTCAGCTATCGATCGTTCTGGTTTGATTGCAGGTTCAGGACAGCCGCAGGCGATGCACTCCTAGTGGTGTGAGAGCTCCCATCACACTATGGAGGACTGTCAGGCGATGAGGGAATCGTCTACTCCCCAGGAGCAGGTGGACTTCATCGGTAATGCCAGGCGCTTCGACCCCTACAGCAACACCTATAACGAGGGGTGGCGCCAGCATCCTAACTTTTCTTGGGCTGGGCCAAATCCCAAACCACCAGCTGCCCAGGGACCACCCGGTTTTCAGAGGTCTCCATACAAGCCCAGACAGGGGCAATTTCAGCAGCCACTCTACCCGCCCAGACAGGGGCCAGTTCCACCTCAGTCACAGGTGCGACCATTTCAGCAGGCAGGGGCAGCACCTGCAGCCCCAGTACAGAGTGACCCGATGGCGGAACTGAGAGATCTGGTGGGTTCTCAGGCCACCTCCAGTGCAAATAAATTCAATAACATTGAGCAATTCATGGAGAAAGCTTCAGGAAAATTCTTGGAGCTAGAAGCTGGTCAGAGAAACACACAGGCTGTGCTGCGAGATATACAGACCCAGCTTGGGAGTGTTGCCCAGGCTGTTGCTCAGAGGACTCCAGGTACCTTGCCTGGTCAGACCATCCCTCACCCGCAGGACCCGAATGCCAACTGCAGTGCCATCACGACCAGGAGTGGCAAGGTGACTGCCGATCCACCTGTTCGGGCAGAGGAGAGACAGACCCCTGCTTCAACACTTCCAGCTAATCAGGAAGAAATGGAGAAGGAGGTTGAGGTGCCTGCTCCTAAACCGCAACCAGTGGTGAAGGAGTATGTACCACAGCTTCCCTTTCCTACTCGGTTGCACAAGGACCGACTAGAGACTGAGTTTGCCAAATTCATGGCAATGCTGAAGCAGGTAAACATTAGCATGCCCTTCGTGGAGGCATTATCGAAGATGCCCAAGTATGCCAAGTTCATGAAGGATCTCCTCACCAACAAGAGGAAGCTTGGGGAGTTGTCCACGGTGATGCTAAACGAGGAGTGTTCTGCCATCCTGTAGAACAAACTACCGGAGAAGCGAAAAGACCCAGAGAGTTTCACTATCCCTTGCATGATTGGTAGTTTGCAT